TCGACAAAGCAGCAAGCAAAAGGTCCTTACTCTCGTGAGTTTTATTTTTTTGGACTCGCTAGGCTTCTATTTTACAAAATACATAGATAAATATTACGTTTTTATTACAACAAGAAATTAAAATGAATTTCTATTTTATTAATTTAGTAACTTATAACTAAAAAGGTTAACAAAAGACATCAACGCGTTACACGAGAACGTCGCGCTGTACCATTTGTTACAATATTTTAACAAATGTTACGGACGCCAGCGATTAGTTCTGCTGTTTTCCTACAATACTTAATAAGAAATGTATAATTTCCTTTATGTAATGAATAAACATATTTAATTACAACAATTTTACTTACTTTTTATTATTAGAATACTGAACATTATTTAAAAACATTAGCCGTAATCTTAAAAAGTCCAAGACGGTTTCCTATGTTAGTTAAAATACTTATTTTATATATTGTCGTATAACTATAGGAAGATCATAATCACATATAACTTACGAAGTACTCACATAGGAATTTAGTAAGTTTTGATAAACTTAAGATCATCATCGATTTAAATTTCACACGTTTAACATATGTACATATATGTAGCTTCAAAATTCAGTCAGACGTCGGCTAGCGTCGGTCTGAGCGGACATTGGTACAACATAACACATGGGCCGTCATTGATAAAGGCGTTCAACATGTCTCCACATTATGCATGATACGAAAGTGCCTCGACAATTTCCTCTCGACACTTGTTTACTATTCCAACGGCCCATTCGTTTCGTTTGACGGCTACCTATTTGTCATGCCCTCTTACAAGGGTGCGAGTATGTTTTATTTATAACAAACCGATATTTAATGGAATATCCACGTGATGACCTGAACGTTTAAGTAAAATAACATAAATAAATAAAAATAGAACACTATTTATTGACCAATTACACAGATTATTAGCAGCTAACATGCAGTAATCGATTATTGACGTCTTATTAATTACTACCTGTGACACGCGACTTTGCTGTCGTGAGTTAAAAAAATAGCCGATGTTACTCACAGATAAATTACGTTTCTAACGGTGAAAGAATTTTTAAAATCGATAGAGTAGTTTTTGAATTATTTTAATATAAATAAAAATTCAAAAATACAAATCTTTCCTCTTTGTTGAGTGCAAAATACAATCTCTTTGGCTGACAAGCAGTATTTATACAGCCAAAGAGGTTGCATACTGGCCACCAAGGCAATAATCGTTTATAAAAGAATATATATAAAAAGAAGAAGTCAAGAATGTGATCGACATAGTTGGGAGTTTTGAGTTTTTGTATATTTTTTTGTGTAAATAAGTTTTCAATAAAGATATGTTTGTTTTATAAGTGTTTTGTATTTTTGGCTGCCGCGCTGTCGGTAACAATTTAAACACTCTTTAATATTAATACAGGTACAAACTATTGTTATACCAATGAGTAACTAATTTTTATTTTTAATAATTGAGTACGTTTTAACAAACTTTAAATAACTTTTATTTGACCATCGTTTTTTGCGGAGCCGTAAGGGTCTAATTAACACGACGTGTCATCATTAGTTTCTCCTGTAACGCCATTATAGTCAAAATGGCGGGTGTACCATCGCGAATTAAATTATACCACTTACTAAAAAAATGTACCTAAAATGTACTAATTAGTACCTCGCTCAAA